GGGAGTGCCTGCCCTGCCCTGCTGCTCTTCTTATATGAGCCTGCCTGGTATTGAGGGGCTGCTCCACTCCAATTGGCTGTCTCCTGCACAGCCTCCCTAGGGTTCTGTTAACCCTTTATGGGCTAGTGTGGGGTAGATGCCCCATCACAAACCTCTTTTACAGTATTAGAGTCCAATAAACAGTCTGTTTGCCCTCAGAGGGCTCTGCGGCCTTTAAATTCGGCCCTTTGTTCAGGTTCCCAAATAAGCTCCATCACTTCTTGGGGTTTATACCACTTTACCTGTGGCCAGTAGGGGAACTTGGGCCCACTCACTACTCCAAGTTCCAGCTGATGGACCCTATAAACACCCATATATGGCTTGTTTCAATTAATTGCTTTCTCTTCCTTGGGCCTCTTGCTATCTGGCCCCTTTAGGTTCACCCTAATCTCAGCGTTAAGGTTCTTAGATTCTCTCTCTGCAAACTGAGCTGTGCAAAGTGCAGCCAGAAAACAACTCTGGGTATACCCCCAAGTTCCTTTTTCCAGAGAGCAGCACCCTTCCTTGCCCCCTATGGTCCCAGCCAGGAACTGAATAGCTAAGGCCAGGCAGCTCCTTTGATCTAAGCCAGCAGGGCCCTGATTAGCTGTAGCATTCACCTCTAGCCCATGGAGGACGAGGCAGAGACTTTCATTGAGCAGGCCACAAAAATACCCAGGATTTTTTCCCCCCGTGTTATATCTAAGGCTTTGTCTACCCTGGCACTTCTGTTGTTAAAGCTTTTGTTGCTTTTGTGTGAAACACCCCTGCCCCCCCGAACGACAAAAGTTCTAACAACAAAAAGCGCCGGTGTGGACAGCACTTCGTCAGCAGGAGCCACCTCCTGGTGACGAAGTACTGCCCCTCCTTGGAGGTGGTTTTATTTTGTCGCCAGGAGAGAGCTTTCCCGGTGATAGAATGGCTACACAGTGCACCTTACAACAGCGCGGCTGCAAGGTGCGCAGTGTAGACACAGTCCAATTTAGAATGCGGTGAAGTGTTTGAGAAGTTCAAATTATTCCCCACTTTGTGCCTTAATTTGTGCTTGTCAATACTAAATTTCATAGACCACCCTGCTAAAAATCTTTGATATAAAGGAGCAGAAAAATTTAAAGTTTGATTTCTTCTTCCAGGTCTTAGACTATTTTGTAATACTGTCACTCTGACTTCGTCACTTGTGTTGTACCATCTGCTATGATTTTTAAGCACTTTGCTGTTGGAGACCTGGGGTGAATCTTATGAATTGGAAACTGATTTAAAGTCATGTAAAGAGAATAAATATGGCACCCTAGCATGTCACTTTCATTCACTTACCTTGCTAAACCCATATGCTTAGAAAAGAGGCTTCTGTAATGCATATGCATCTACTGAAACCAGGAAGCACTCTGTGAGGTTTATATGTAGGAAGACTGGGCATGTTTCCTTTTTTAAAGTTGATATAATTTTTTTTTGTCAATCTGAAAGCAGCATAGGTGGAAGAGAAGAAATAGCTTTCATCTTTGGGGACAAATCAGTGGTCTGATTATAACTTTGCAACTCACTTCATCTCTCGGTGTCCTAATTTCTCCTTCTATAAAATGAAATTAGTTAATACTTTTGTACCTCAGAAGGAGCTGAGTGGTTTGGTTTTGTTATCTCAAAATGCTTTTAGAGGAGTTACTTGGTTGGCAAGTACTAGAGAAGTGCAAAATATAATGGTAGTGGTAGATCAATGACTTGTATTTAGCAGTAGATCTTTCGTGTCCTACCATAGACTGTATTCCTTAAAATTTGAGAAGGTGGAAGAGAGGAAGGTATCTTGCAGCTTGTCAAGATGAACACTGGCATTTATTTTGGCATATCATTAATAGACTCTTAATTGCTAATATAGCATTTAAAATGCAGCACTTATACACATTGTCTTAATACTGTTATATACATGGTTATTTTGCCAAGCAGAAAAGTGAGTTTTTAATTGATAGACGTTTTCTTACAGGTCCAGCTTGTTGGTTTAGATGAGGAGAGCTCAGAGTTCATTTGCAGGAACACCTTTGATCACCCATATCCTACTACAAAGCTCATGTGGATTCCTGACACCAAGGGAGTATATCCAGACCTGTTGGCAACCAGCGGTGATTACCTGCGTGTGTGGAGAGTAAGTAAATAGCCTCTTGAAAAGCACCACGTATGTGCCATTAACTGCATTGCATTTTGATCCCCTTCTCTCCCAGTCCCATTTCTTTTGAGGCACATTATCTCTAGCATTATGCTCACCAGTATTGCCGGAGGGGAAGCCAACATAGTGGATAATTTGTTCTTTTACCTACAGTCTCAAAGTAACGTAGAACCCTCTCTGAATAACAATACAATGGCTGCGAGGTATCTTGAGTATTCTAGCAATGTCAAAATTATGAAAGTAGCTTATTAAATGTGATGGCAAGGCTCAATAGTTGCTGTTGTAACAGAAACTTGTTAGGGGAGAGCATATGTACCTTTCTCAGTTTTACTTCAAACACTCTGAAAGCTCTTCACAATAGATAGATATTTATGGAAGAAACCAGTGTCAAACACAGTTAAGACTTGAAGTTCTGAAGGCCTATGCTCTATGGGGCACCTCTTGGATTTTGCATCCAGGCCATTCAATAAGGCAGTCATTGTGTATTTAACTTCTTCCTGAAGGTGGGTGAAACTGAGACCCGACTGGAGTGCTTGCTGAACAATAATAAGAACTCTGATTTTTGTGCCCCGTTAACGTCGTTTGATTGGAATGAAGTGGATCCTTATCTTCTAGGTAAGACTGCTGACCCGTTAAATACTCAATGTAAAATTGATCATTTTGAATCTAGCCCAGGTGAGTAGTGACTAGAACTTACTACCAGCTCATGGGTGTTCAGTGGCCAGGTTTCTACATCTCAAAAAACCTGTTCCCTTAAATGTCACAAAAGAGCAGCCCATGGAGACTGAACTCTCTCTCCTCCCCCCACCCCCCAGGAGGCATCTCCAGTTCAGGGTTGTGCACATGGGTTGGGAGTGTTCCCTGGCTGCCGCTTGTGCTCAGCCTGTATGTTGAATAGAGGGTTTCAGTCTTCAAGGCTGTCAGATTGGCACCTTTTGTTAGTGTTAAATTTATACACAGACTCTTCAGCTACAATCAAATGGCTGAACTGTGCCAGATGATGTTGGATAGAATGTTGCCCCACAGGTGCCATTGCACCATGTTTGTTACAATGAAATGCCTCTGCAGCAACGGGAGTAAAACCAGGTGTCACTCTCATTTGGAGCAGAGAGCTAAATTCATTGTTTAATTATAATCTGTGGGATGGGGTATGAATCCAGGATGGTGTATACTCCCCTTGATCCATAGTCAGGACCTCCACTAGCATCAGGGGGAAGTTTGAACAGAGATCAAGGGGGCAATACTTCCTTTCAGTAGTAACATTTATTCCGGTGTTTCCTCTTTTGCAGCAATTCCCACCCCAAAGGGTTTCACTATCACCCTTGTTGGACTTTAGAGCTGCTGTTCCAGTCAGTTTTGTATCGGGCAGGGGAGTTCACCCCACTGAGTCTTTATCTTAGGCTGTCTGTACACACAGGCAGACATCATATCGCTTTATGCTTGGTTCATCTTTGTAAGGCTTTCTCTACAGCTATGAGGGCTAGAGAATTAACCAAAAAATTTCTGCACAACCTGAGTCATGTGGGCCACACACGTTGTGCAGGCCAGATCCAGCCTGCGATCCATAGTTTAATTCAGGCATGTCAAACATTTTAACCATAATACTTTGCTCATGCAGAGTTCTCTTCACCCAGAGACCTCAAAGCACGTCTGAGACTAATCCCGTAAGTGATAAGATGACATTTCTGCAGCTCTATGTTAGTACCACCATTAACAGACACTTTTTTGTTTCAGGTACCTCTAGTATTGACACAACCTGTACTATCTGGGGTCTGGAGACTGGGCAGGTATTGGGAAGAGTAAATCTGGTATCGGGCCATGTCAAGACCCAGCTTATTGCACATGACAAAGAGGTGATGATATTACTCTTCCTTTTTCTCATTCATACAGTTGTCTGCATTAAACCTGTTAAAGGTCTATCGAATGAACCTAACTCCCATTTTTCTCCAGAAAAATCTGAGGATTTAGAAAAAAGACTTGGATTCTACATTACATATCTGTCTAAAATTCAGTTGCTTGTAGCCTGAAAATTCTACATACTCGCTTTTACTCATTTTAGACGGTGACCTGCGGAATATGCTTGCTGTTTTGTTCTAGTTTGTATTAAATTTATAAAATGTTGCCAGACAAAACTTAACTCCAGTTTAAAGTTGAGAGCCATATTCGTAATTTAAGGGTGGTAAAACTTTTTAATGTTTTCTTCATTTTTAATTTTTTTTTAAAGTTTAAAGTTAAAAGAAACCTAAAGATAGCAAAACATGGAAACATACAGTTAAGGCACCCAAATCACCCTGTAGTGACAGAACCCTCTAGACTTTCCTTCTTTGTTCCTTTTATACTTAGGACATCATATCAGACTTTCTCATGCAATTACGGGTTTGTAGGATCAGGCCTGTATAGTATAAGCATTTTTCTAAGACTTATTCTAACTGGTTGTTTAAAAAAACACATTTTTTTTGCTCCCTGGCTGCATTTATGAGGGAGTGGAGCAGGGTTCTTTGCAGCCTATGCCTTTCGAAGGAAGCCTCTGTGAGCATTTTGATGGGGGTGGGGGAGAATGGAAAGGGTTCTCCATTCCCTGAGACTTTCTGCCCCTTTACTTCAGGGAACATTACTAGAGTCTTTAGTAGTTTTGGCGAGGCAGGGGTGGGGCCCAATGGAGGGGATGGAATGGGGGGGGGGGGGCTTTTGTACCTTTATATGAAAAGGTGTCAGTGATGTGGCCCTCGGGCCGCTGTACTAGTCCTCATGTGGCCCTCGTGGTGATTTGAGTTTAAGATCCCTGTTCTACACCAAGATACCTGTGGTATTTGCTATAATTCATTGCAATTCCCTAGTAAAATCAAATGCCTGACATAGTAAATAGTTAGTGATGACACACTATTTAGATGGAAAAGCCCTCTTAGTGCATTCCTGAGACAGAGAACATATCTGGTAATAAACTGGTGCCACAATGGATCTTAAGACTTTTGTATTTTTCTCTGTAAGTATATGTAGCACATGCAGTCCAGCTATGTAATGGTGATATTTTTATTGGAGAGGAAAAGGCCCAGATGTAGATAATGAAGAAGCTGGCACAGCTGTGTGGTTAGCACTCCTAGCACGCTCCCATCTCAAACTGCCTAGAGAGCAGTGCTGTCATTACTTTGACATGCCTGTGTGTTGTTCTTGCGTTTGCAAACACTAACTGGTGGGAGGAGGAGGAAGAATTAATAGGACACGTTCCTTGAAAATGGAGAAATGGGAGCCAAAATGAATGTTAAAATAATGCCATGTTCTTATCTCCCCTATCACTGAGCAGGTGTATGACATTGCATTTAGCCGCGCGGGTGGCGGGAGAGACATGTTTGCGTCAGTTGGCGCAGATGGCTCAGTGCGGATGTTTGACCTTCGTCATCTGGAGCACAGCACCATTATCTATGAGGATCCGCAACACCATCCGTTGCTGCGTCTCTGCTGGAACAAGCAGGATCCCAACTATCTTGCAACAATGGCCATGGATGGTATGGAGGTGAGGCACTGAGCATTTGCCCTATAGGCTGTTGGACTTTTTAGATGGGCTTACTGATTAGTCAATGTTTGTAAAGCACGTTGGAGGAGAAGAGGACTACATATGTGCTTAATATTGGGTATCTGGGACAGGGCTGTAGATACGGATTGCAAGAAGCCCAGCTTCTGAGAAAAGTATTGGAACGAGTTATTCTATGGAGTTGTTCACTGCATTGTTCATTTTCCAAATGTATTGAAGTTCTCATACTTGCTGAATTTCAATATTAACACTTCTTTATAAAAGCCGGCTTGATTTCATATGGCTGTATACTTATTTGCAGCTGTAGGTGTTGGGATGCTACAAACTTGAGGAGTTGAAAGGCTCCTTTAACCTGTAGCTGATTTTGAGACTGGTCCTTATGCCTCTGAGCTGATACTCTTTAAGTTCCATCTTGCTTCAGTGACGCCAAAAGGCACTGTAGATTTTTCTTTAGTTCGACATCACCAGTACTCCTCCATGGAATTGTAACTTCATAATTCACTCTGCCTGTGTTACATATTACACAAGGTGTACAGTGATTCTCTAGCTGCTTTCAAAACAGCTTTTGGTCAGTCGTGTGTGTCTTTAGAGACAGTGCTGTATTTATAACATTCTGCCAAAGTGTCTCGTTTTCTTTTGGTGTTTTTTCTGCAGGAAACAAATGAATAAACATTTTTACTTTTGCTTCTGAAGGTGGTGATTCTAGACGTCAGAGTTCCCTGCACACCTGTTGCCAGGTTAAACAACCACAGAGCATGTGTGAATGGCATTGCCTGGGCGCCTCACTCTTCCTGTCATATCTGTACGGCAGGTGAGCATGGGGAGAGATCTGTTCTACTTCTCAGCTCCTCCCTCTTTGGTCTTGTCCCCCAGGAACTTTCTGAATGTATGAACCTCTATCCTGGGACTCCTGCAATCATTTCCACTACCTCTAATCTCTCCAGCAATTTGAGCAAAAAAAATAAGACTAGGGCCGTAGATATATCCAGCTGTCATAGGTGCTCATTTTATTACCTCCACCATTTCCCAGAATTCTCCAGGGAAACTGAGAAGCTGCTGCCTCTTAAGCAGTTTGGATATTGGGCTGTCTCGCCTTGAAAATGAGGGACTGTGTCCCAATGTCTGAACTGTGAAAGAGGCAACACCTTTCTTACGTCATGAATGTTGGAGTCATTCATTAGCTTTAGGTGCATTCCCTAACAGCTAACCACTTTATTCAAAGGGCTGTTTTCTCTCCTTGTAATAAAACTATAGTTGCTAACAGTGCTCAAATTCTGCATTTTTAGTTTGTGATACATTTAGTGTTGCTATTGGCTGAATATTTTGTGGAGGGCCCTTTTTTTGCTGAAAGTGTAATATATTTGCACACACAGTAGAGAGATTCAGTATATGGCTTCTTAACATCCATTAGACCATGCTTTTGGCTAAGTGTGTGGGCTCTCATGTAAGTCATTGGGAGCTGTGCACCCATGTCTGTGGTCAGAAAACGGTATTAATTTTCTAAAAAAATTGGGCGGGTCTCCTTGGACACAAAGCTTAAAACCATGTAAGTTAAAGATAGGAAAGGTCTCTTAGGTTCCATCTAGTCCATCCCCTTGGCCAATGCAAGATTGTTCCTGCCAGTGTATATTCAGTGCTTTCTCCAAGTGCTGGTTCTTAAATGTGCCTATCGATGGTGCTGCCACCATTTCCCTTGAGACTGTATCACAGATGTGTAGTGATCTAAAGAGCTATTCGAGCGGGGTTATGGTGGAGTGGCGTTGTTTCATTTTATGTGATCTTCGTTTCCTCCATATTCGGGGGAATTGCCCAGCTTTACTTTTTTTCATTTGGACTTCTCACTCAGTCTCCAAAGCAAGCTAAAATACAATATTCCTCCAACTAGCCATGTAAATATGCCTCTACCTATTTCCGAGATGATTGATTCGAATTCTTTCTTACCGGTTTGTAGCGGATGACCATCAGGCTCTCATCTGGGATATCCAGCAAATGCCTCGTGCCATTGAGGACCCAATCTTGGCCTACACAGCAGAAGGGGAAATCAACAATGTACAGTGGGCATCGACTCAGCCGGACTGGATAGCTATCTGCTACAACAACTGTCTGGAGATCTTGAGAGTGTAACACTATTGGTCTGTGGCAAACTGAGGCAGGGCTCTATAACTTCCCCTCCCCTCTAAAGTAAGAACAAACATGTTTCAAGTGGCCAGTATCTTTTGTTGCTTTGCATCTACTGTTCCAAGAAACTGTTGCAGGAGTTAATGGCAGGTGTCGGCTGTCCCTACAAGACTCAGAAAACGAAGGGACGCACCCAGCCTCTTGGACCTTCTGGGTTTTGATTTTAATATTTTTCTCAATTAAAAAGTTCTGTATATCTGTTTGTTGACTGTGTTAATGAGCATTACAGGCTTTAAATGACTATTTTAAGTTGCTGCATACGTCCATGTGTTTGTCAGCCAGCTGAGACAGCACATCCAATTAGTTTGATAGATGTAAGTGCAAAACTAGGTGGAAAGAAAAGACATTAATATTAACCACCGCCTTTGCAGGAATTTTTAATCATTCCTGTTACTGTCCCTAAACCGTTTGAACGTTTTTATATATTGGACTAAGTTTCTATTAAGTAGGCTCTTCACCCTAGTTCTTATTTTTGACATGTGATCCACTTCCATAAGCCCCAAGCAGGATCTGTTGATGATGGTGATGGGTCATGAGCATCATTGTAGGCTTCCTAGCAGTAAAACTGTTGCTGTTGCCTTGGCTATGTGCCCCTGAGCATTTGGTCAGAATTGCCTGGTGCTGTGAAGTACCATTACTTGTCGCACAGGTCTTTCATTTTAACTGATGCTAGAGGCAGTTGTTACTGTGGTGGGCCGTCAGTTAGATCACTGAATTATTGAGTCTCCCACCGCTGTATTACTTAACTGAATGGTGACAAGATTCACAGAGAAGATACTAGCATGACTAGAGCTATTTTTGAAAACATTTAGTAAAAAATGTGACTTGTAATGCATTTTGGATAGACACTTGCAGTCAAATGATTCCTCTAGAAAGCTTCCTATCTGAACCAAAATAAAATGGTTTCACACCTTCTAGCTTACTTGATTGGCAACTGTAATTCTAAGCAAAATTCTGTATCTAACCTATCTCTTGGAGTTTCTTTTGCATTTGGCTCGTCTTCCTGGGAGTTCTAGAAAGTGAACGAGTGAAGAGCTAGCTTTTGTTCCTAAGAGCAAGGAGAGAAGCATTAGCATTGTATTGTCAGATCTTGTTGGATGACTGTGATAGAAGCAGTTAGAACAGCTGGTCTGCTGTCCAAAGGCAAGTCATGCCCCTGTAAAGGAAAGTTTCCTAAAGTAACATACAGGGTTGGGTCTAAATTAAAAGAAGTTGCCCAATGTGTGTCTCAAATGGAGACCTTATTTTGGCTCTAGTTGTCATTCTTAGGTACTGCAACTCTTGTAAGAGGAGCAGGATAGGTATGCTGTGTGGGGAGCCTTCTAGTTTCATCCAAGTTCCCTTTCTGAAGTGGAAAGGTGAAGGAGAGCGAGGCCGACCCTCTGTCACCATGATGCTTTATGCGGAGGGATAGCAAAATTCTTTCATTGTCTTAACATGGCGGGTAGTTCGAATGATGTCGTTTTCTTGTTTTGATCAGCTAACTGCAATACCCTTCAAATGAGAAGGTGACACATTGAACACCACACTGGTGAGGTCTAACCATCACCTTGTTCTGTAACAATAGACTGAGCTGATGAGGTCAAGATCCAGATCAGCTGACCCTGACTCATTACTTTGAGAGACAATCTTGATATTGAGTGAAAACCAAAGGTAGCATTATACATAAAAAGGCAAAATTTAATTATTTTTTTTCTAAGAATATTAGGCTTCCAATTTGAAGTAGCTTCAGTTACATACACCTTCTCTCCCAAGTCCCTGGCCAACTCTCTTGTAACCACAGGTTTTTATTTTAAATGCTCTGTCCCTCTTGTTCTGAGACCCAGACAAACAGGGAAGACTGGAATGAGTCAATGAAACTAAATGTTCAGCCTGCTGTCAAGTGCAGATTAAAATTGAAAAATAGAGATGTCTGCTTTTTCAATTATAATCTTAGATGTTTCTGGTAACAAGCAGCAAAAATTATCCTACGGGTGACTTTTTAAAAAATAGAAACCAGAGTATACGAAAGCATCTTATTCATCTGATCACCTCTCATTCGTGACGGATATTTACTCCCGTTAACAGTGCAGAGCAAACGCGTCTCTGGGAGAATGAGGCGCATTCTGTTCAGTCTCACACATTGTCAATAAAATTCATTAAGTTCCAATTGCAGAATTTTTATTGATGGGTGAGCCATAAAGAACTGTCTGGTGTTCAGATTCCTAGCATGGTTGCATGTTCCGATTCTGGCATGGTTGCCAGATAGCTTACACATGCATCTCTGGTCTGCCAAGCGAATTTGCTCCAGAAATCATTGATCCACAAGTGTGGAACCTCCCATTAAACTTGGGCACTCTTCAAAGTAGAGCTGCGCCTTTAAAGTTAAACTTAAATATGCAAGCATGTTAGAAAATGAAAGTTGCGTTTCTCATAGCAACATTCATTTGTATGGTGTAGGCTGCTTTCGTTTAGATATACTTGTAACAATAGTACATGAAAAATTCTTGCATGTGTATCTAAATACAAGTACTAGGCACAGTATAAACAAGCTAATGCCAGTGAGAGAAGCGTAAACCTTTTGCTTCCTGACTGTGCAAACTAAATGTGTTTTATATATAACATTGCAATAAGTTTTGCATTTCATGTTTTGGGGAAGTAGGGTTTTGGGGGAGATGGGGGGGAGGACTACTTTCATAATGTTAGTATTTAAATAGTCCCAATTAGGCTTTGAAGTTTTATTCTGTTGATGTAAATTGTGTGGGTAAAGGTTGCGTTGCTGCTGCTTGGCTGCAGACAGATTTCCGCAAGGCTTAGTTAACAGTGTAGCTGAACATCTGTTTCTAGCTGCGGTCTTCAGAAGGAAAAAATGATAGCAACGTAATGTTCTTTAAGCTGAACGCTTTTTGCAGAACTACAAAGAATGTATCAAAAAAGGTGGATCCCATGATCTTAATAACGGTTTCTTTCTTGTCCACCATTTTCTCCAGTCTGATCTTGACAGGTTCGTGTTTCAATGAAAAACTTAGTTTCCTGCAAACTGTTTATGGTCAGGCCAGACACTGAGCTATGTGGTTTCTCTGCCCATTACAGGCTGTATTAGACAGAATGGTATTGACTCTTCTCTGTAGATTGTTGTACTATGCCCATTACTGTGATATCTAAACACCTTTTAAGCCACACTCTTCCTCCCACCCAGCTGAGCGGTGGTCATGGAGGACAATTCACTTGGAGACGTTTTAGTTGATATAGTGAGAGAGAACTCTTTTTTGCGTTAAGGAAAGGGAATAAACATCCAGCTGAAACAGCCAAAGGGATTTTCCTCAAACTTTCCAAAAATATAATCCCACCTTGACTAAACATAGTTTTAGACCAATGAGAATTGAGCATTAAGAGCATGTGAAAATGAGACTAAATGAGTACACACAACTTCATAGCTTCCATTACCAGCAGAAGTGGCTCTGTTATGTATACTGAGGAGGCCTCAGCTTGGGGGCCTTCCTCCCTAAGATTTCTTGCAGAACATTTGTGGCTTTGTCTATAGCGATTAGGCTTCTGATCCAAAGGTCCTTGCAATGGAAGCACCTGCTCGCTTGGCCAGTTCGACTGCTTTTGGCTTCTTTACTTGCTTTGGGTCATGTCCTGCTGTCATTCCATAGGTGGAACCCCAGGGAAGCCAGGGGACATTGAGGGCACAGACATGATTTGTTTTCAGAAGTCATTTGGTAGCTTAATGAGCATTACTGAAAATTACCCCAAACCTTTCTAGATAAGGAGTTCAGTAATCCAAATGGCATGTCCATCTAGGTAAGGAAATGAGGCTTCAGTGCCCCCGCCTTCCTGCTCTCACAAAAGGGGCAATGAGGGAGGAGTTGAACTGTCCATCAGTTCATTTGTTTGCATGGCAAATTAACCCCCTTCCCTGAGATGTATTTGGGGCTGAGGGTTAATGACCAAAAAACTACTCAGCAGCAGAGTCCACCTGCTGAATAGTCCAATTGGATGTGGAAACCTTGCAGGGTTCCTTTGTGCTGATGAATTTAAATACCTCAGCCCACCTTACCTTTACCTCTTGCCAAATCTCCATAAGCATTATTTCTTCCAGAGTTAGAGGAAATAACTGGTTCAGTGACTCATTTTGGTGGTGGCTTTTTAAATGATTGCGAGACTATACAGAGAAACTGCCTTTACATTTTGTGTCGGGGTGGGAGAATAGAGAGGGAGGCCTTAGACCAGTGGTTCATAACCTGTGGACCGCTTGTGGCCCAATCAGCACACAGCTGAGGCCCATGTGACATCCTCAGGGCCATACAGGTAGTATATGTATTGTGTGGGTGCAGACCACATAACACGGAGAGAGCTGCATGTGTGGCCCCCAATAGTAAATGAGTTGAGAACCACGGCCTTAGACCTTTCGCTAAGCATCAGTGAGCTTGGCACAGAAGTGAATTTCGTAACGGGACTGAAGTGCCATTTCTCCAACTTCACTAGTTTTGTATCTTTTCTCTGGCTAACTGATTCCAGCCATTGGGCTGCATTTTAAAAACCCAATTGCCCGGGATACCAACCATCCCATGGGCAGCTAATATGTTTTGGCTCCCAGCCCAAAGATGAGGTGAGACTCTCAAAGCTAGCTGGAGGATGAGCCAGTGCATTTGTATGTTAAATCTGTATAGCACTGAATTAAATCAGTCTGTGGTAGGTTGCCGCAACTAAACTTGCCCTGCCATGTGCTAGGATTTAATAGTCAAGGTTGCCTTGACAATCTCTTGAGTAAGAAATTCAGTGGTCTCAAAGTACAGAAAGAGAAGAGGTTGATACTGCAGATTGTTCCTTACTTTAAGGCCCCCTGGGTACTTATGGGAAGCAAGGCCTTGCTTCCCATCAGAATCAAAATTCATGATCCCTTCAAAATATAGTTGTGATCACACCTCTGCATTGCTTCTAATTACTTTTTTTGAACACTGGATAACAAAGGTCAGCAACCAGAATAGATTCATTGATGAGATGATAAATCCACAGCCGTGTGATCTGTAGATCGTTTCTTAACTGCGATTCGATTGGAGAAATGTATGTCTGTGCTAATGTATTGGCATATACATACATTTTTTTTTGGACTTTTGTTTAAAAATATAAGTTCTGGAAGCTGAGCACGCCGGTTTACGTGCTCTAGATGGAACTTTAGCAGGTATATTTTTGTTAGGGTTAGGAATGAAATAACCTTCCTACCTCAGTCCTTTAAGGCTGGCGTTTGACTCTGAACCCTGTGTCCGATTAATAAAATCTTAAATACAGCGTGAGAGTTTCCTGACTGTTGCAGTTCCAAACTGGCTCTGGCTGGCAGCACATGGGGACCTCTTTCACGCCAGAACCACCTGAGAAGCAACACCAAAAATGCGAGCACTTGAAAATGCTGTTAACACTACAAACTGTGAGGCTTTATATGCCGATGACGGCATGATCCCGTAGGGATCTCTCAAGCACTTGACTTTGCCTCTTGCCCAAACACAACTTTGTTTTGCTTCTTTTGGGTACTTTTATTATTGCCTAGTTGTGTTTGGGGGACCCTGGAATTAGGTGCCCTTTCAAACATATGGCAGTAATGATAGGTGGTTTGGGTAGATAGTTATCTTGGGATGTAGGTGAATTCTGCAGTCTTTGTCAGTTCCATAATGTCAGGAAAATTGATGCAGCTTTCTGTGACTTAAGATGCAGAATTCAAAGATCTTTGACTATCAAAATTCCTTGGTACTGACTATCTTAACCCTTTCCGTATACGCAGCACAGGCAGAAACAAATAAATCACAAGGTGCAGCTCCGTGCACAGTAGGGCTGTACAATTGTTTATACCTCCCTCAAAGTATTGAAAGGGTTAGTCATCCCGCTACTGCCACACAAAATGGTTCTGCCACTTCAAACCCAAGGGAAGCATTATCCAGTCAGTGGACAGTTAAGGTATCTCTGAATGACTTCAGTTGCTTTTCACTCCAAGGCCACTGGTTCAAATCCCAGTCCAGGCATTGTTTTGATCCGTGGTCTGTATGAAATGAGGTTGTTTCCAGATCTGGTTCCTAATGGGCAGGAGTACATTTGGCTCTAGATGGGCCCCCTTATTAATGTCTGCAGGGAAGCCTACGGATTTAATGCTAGGTGGCACTTAAACAGCACTTTTCCATGTTTGCTTGGCAACCAAATTTCCCTAGGGAAGGTCGCTCTAAGTCATAGGTGAGGTACATTGGCAAAGGTAGGGGGAGTGAAGAGACTTGCACTGCCCGTGCTGTAGCCAGAGGGTCTCACTCTCTAAGGTTTTTGATCCAGCACCTTTCACCAGCACTGAAATAGTAACAAACGTGTGACTAGACACCAGCTACCGGGGTGCTTGTCTGGCAATTGGAGACAGAGCATAGAGGCAAGAGCAGTTCTAAGAGGAAGTTGCACACTATTGCGCTAGACTTCTGGACAGCCTTTAGTCTGCCCAGTATCTCAAACTGCCTCTTCTGGCGCACAGATACCATCAATCTAGAATTTCCTTGCTGGTGAGGAAAATGACCTGCTTGGCTTCCTTTTCAGATAAGCTAATAAAGGACAATGCTGAGGTTTTTTTTATTATTTTTGCAAGGTTCTGCAGCCACAACAAACTACAGGCCCTGGTTCCATCTCTCATTCATACACACTAGTCAGCATCTCTTAGAATGTCCATTTTCCTGTTTGTAAAATATGCAAGTTTCCTTCTATGCGAGAGACAGTAATTGGTCAGGCAAATCCAAATGAAGGCACACAGGACTTGCTAAACAAAGGGGGAAGGACTCTGGCAGTAAATAGTACTGCTGTGAAGCAATGTTATTTCGACAACCTGGTGAATATGATTTTGTGGTATCTGCTATTTAAAAGGAACTTTTTTTACTTGGGTTGCCAGCAGTGTACAATGTAATGAATAAATCTGTCGAGATGAAGCTTTTTTTTTTTTACTACTAGTAATTAAATAGATGTTCATTTTGTTATGTGTATTCCCTTCTGCTGTTCCCCTTTAAAGTCCCATTGTGATAACTTCCTGAAGGTGTGATCTTTGTAGCATGATTGTACAAACATACATATGAAATCCCAGATTTCTTGTTCTCACTAAAATGTTAAAGCAATAGCGATTTTACTGCTGTCATGCATAGCCTAAGGTGTTTGCACACTTTTTTCCTCCCTCTTTCATATTGCTTGAGATTTGCAACTTTGCTACTATACTTTACTAGAGGAATCCTAGCATCCCATTATCGGGCAGATTCAGACCTGTTGTTGCCACGAGTAACTGCAGTGTCCTGGTATTCCTTTTTTAATTATTTTTATGGAGAAACCATATAAAAGGTTTTGTTACAGTGGATTTTAACACCTGAACCCTGGAACCATATTATTGAAACTCTGTAAATTAAGTCAGTCTTTTATGAAACCGCTTGAAAGTGGAATGTTGCATCCTTTTATGCTATTTCCTGCTTCCTATGTAGTTTTATTCAATTTTTTAACCTTTTTAAGTTTCAGCCTCCTGTGTATTAGGTACAGTATTTTCTGCCTTTCATACTTTGTAATAAAAATTGAACATTTATAGATTGAATGCAGTTTGCTGTGTGGTGAGTTAAAACTGATTGCAGGTGAGCAGGAAAACTGCTTAAAACATGTTGATTTTGTTTTGTGTCTTGTTGCAGGTTCACTGATGTGCAGACAAAGGGGTTATTGGTTTATATTTTCCACGGGCTTCCTAGGCTAATAAAATTCAATGATCATCTTTGTTCTCATGTGTCTAGTCCCAGACAGAACTTCACCAACTCAAAGTTAAGTTTGCTACTAACACGTTACAAAAACTACATACAAACAGATCAGTTCATAGAACTACATTTGAAAAGCACTTAAACCTTTATCTAGGTTACCTTAACTGATCATTTAAGTGCTTTTCAGGTAATTATTTTTAAAATAAACTTAAAAAAACCCCAAAACACGAACACTTATTACCCTGGTTCTTTGGATTCTCTTTTCATTCACAGTTCTGGTCTTCATTAAATGGCACTTTCAATGCACAATAATAATTTGCCAGTATCTGTCTCTAGTGATCAAAATAAAGGTTGGCAGTTGGATTATTTTTAGTTCAAATGATGACTTGATCCCTGAAGTTTTAATCAGTTGTAAATTTAGGACAAAATAATCCTACAATCTTAATTGTGGAAAGCACTGTTCATTAACTACTCAGTCCCTCCAGTTTTATTGGCTTCTGAAGAGGCACCCTGCCTTCTCAGATGGAACCATTTGTTTTCTGTAATCCTGATGGAGAGGTCAATTGATGCCTGAATTGGAAATGCCACTTTACTTCATAAGAGCTAAGTAAAATAGGTATGTACTGACATTAAACAGTTAGCTCTCATATACAAATGAATGTGATAGCTTATGGAATTGCAGCAAATGCTATCTATTGTCCATGAAAATAATCTTGTTTCTGGATCTGTCTGCCTCTCGTTCTTAGAATTTTGGTTTCAAAGGAAATGCTTACTAAACTTTATGGCCCTGAAGAAAGGAGTTACCTTTGAAGACACTTAGCATACTCGTAGCAAAACGCAGACTTCTTGTTCCAGTAATCAATGCTTAGTGGAAAATAGTGACATTGGCCTTTTGCTTCTATTTGTCATAATATCATTCTGAAATGTGTTTTACCCTAGAAAAGTTTTTTAGATCCCCATGGGGCTGCTTCCAGGATCTAAACTTCACTGTTCTCCACGGAAACCTTTCCCAATTGTCATCCACTTAGTTATTGCTGTCTCCACTGACTTCTCCCTGCTGCTATCTCTGGTGGAGTACCCTGCCAACAATTGGTCGGTATACCAGGGTGTAGCAAGTAAGCCACTTCCCGCTTAGGATAAATACACTTGTCTGACATTTTTAACTCCTCCTGACTTGCTTTGTATAGCTTCATGTTCTGGGGTATGTGAAATCCAGCAAAGTCTGGACAAATGGCTGTTCTTAGAGGACTGGCTTGTGCATCCAGACACCCGGTGAGAGAAGTATTTGTCATCTCGATCACCTTTCCCGTTCCCTGTGAGCCCCAACATTGCATTTCAGTGAGCACTCGTTATGGGCCTATGTCCGCACTTGGTATCAGCACACAACTCCCACTGCTGCCTTTGCTTACCATGGGCAGAGTTCACTACTTGGCACACGTACTCAAGTGAGCGATGCTATAGAAATCCATCCAGATGAAATATCGTCCTTTTCTAATTCAAATTGATCTGTTGATTGGAAACTCTGAATGTGATTCGCCTTCCTTCCCCTTATGTAGGCCAATAGCCTGTTGGAACATGATGGAGAAGGGGTGTTGGCTAGCACACTGAATCCCAACTGTGGAGAGCTGGCTGGTCGTGTTAGGCTAGGTTCACAAAGGGACTTAGTCATTGTGCCTAACTCTTAATCCTAGTGATATTCTAGAAGCTCATACCTGTGTTTAGGTGCTCAGGCTCCCTATCCAATGAATGAGGAGAGAGCAGCACATGAGAATGGGATTCTCAAAAGCCAGCATCCTGGGTGGGGAGCTGCCTAAGCTAGCCAATGGGACATGCTGAAGAGAGGAGCGTGTCTGAAGTCCGATCCCAGAGTTTGGTGCTCTCTCTACATTGGATTCTCGGCTGTGAACCCTCAGGTGGAGTCAGCTGTCTAAGGCAGTTCTTGCAAGGGAAGAAAAGAGGACACTCCTCAGCCTTGTAGCCCACTGGCTCTGGAATGTAGAAAAAGAAACCCAGTTGAAATCCCCCCTTTGCCTGAGGAGAAGGGATTTGAACGTGGATCTGCCATGAGTGCCCTAATTTCTGGGCTATGGGATGTGGGGTGCCCTGAATCTTGCCCATTTAAGCTGTAGATAAATGATTGGTTATTGGGCCAGAGTGTGTGAGAAGGACTCTATAGACTGGGAGGTAGGGCACTCACCTAGGAGGTACAAGATACAGGATCTGGCCCCCCTGTGCTGATGACTATTTGTTTAGCCAAGGTAGAATAGCTTTAATAGGGGAGACTGAGGGAGCCCCATATCAGAGTATCCCATAGTCCAGTGGTTAAGGCACTCATCTGAGAAGTGGCAAATCCACGTTCAATCCCTTCTTTTCAGCAGGCAGAGGGGGACTTGAACCAGGGGCTTTCTACATCCCAGCTAAGTACCTAACCACTGGGCTAAAAGTTGTGTGTGCCCTCCTCCTTTTCCCCAGTGTCTTCTGTGTGGAGCTTGGCAGCTTCTGTTTAACAACATCCTTCGTCACTATTGGAATGGAAACCATTTAATCATATGATGTGAAATACACCTCTACCTTGATATAATGCGACCCGATATAACACGAATTCGGATATAACGCGGCAAAGCAGTGCTCCGGGGGGCAGGCTGTGCACTCCGGTGGATCAAAGCAAGTTTGCTATAATGCGGTTTCACCTATAATGCGGTAAGATGGCTCCTGAGGACAGTGTTATATCGAGGTAGAGGTGTATATCATCTGGCTTTTTCCCAAATACAAAACAAATATTTATTGAACATTTCTGCCTTTTCTGCATTACTAGTAACAACCACCTCCTTATCATCCTTAACTCTGCTGGATAGAGATGTCTCCTTGTAGAAAATTGATAAGGGAAGCAAAAAGACAATTTCTACTAATAAATATAAATGAGAAGCTATCAACTTCCCCTTTTTTTCCATTTGTTATATATTGAGTTTTATATTGCTGCTTTCACTTCCCCTCTGTCAGGCTGTTTTTAACCAAAGTAGCTGACTTTCTCAACTGTGGGAATGTGGGTTTTGGGCATCTACTAAAATATCCTTAAACAGTTCCCAATTATCATTCATATTTTTTGTTTCAATTTTTCCTCCCAGCTGATTTAACTAATTATTTTCAGCTTTGTGAAACTGGCCCTTTTAAAGCCCCAAGAGAGAGTGAGTGTGTGTGTGTGTGTGTATATATATATATATACACACACATATATTTATTACTGGTTGGGGCCTCAGTTCTCTTCACATCTAATACATGCAATCAAGTCATGATCACTTGTGTTTAAGCAATCACTAATTTTCAGTTCAAAGATCAGTTTTTCTATCTGTCAAGATGAGGCCTGAGCCAGAATTCTGTGTTGGGGGTTTTCCTACTGGCAGCATGAGACCTCCACCGTATGGCATCCAGACTGAAGTCCCCAATGATCAGTTATTATATTCTACACCTACACAAGTGTTCTGTAGTGTGATTTGGTCATCTATAGCAGATACCAACTAGTACCCCATCTATATCTATCGGGGTGATCCATAAACATTCTAGATCATTTGCTTCTGAGTTGTCAGTGTCTCTGAAACAGGTAAGGCCATTTTTGACAATGCCATCCCTTTTGCCTACTTGATCCTTCCTAAAGAGGAGGGTACAGCTCCTAATTCTTTAAATAAACTGGCTAAGAGCCCCCTCTGCTGGGCTGATAGAGAACTGCTAATCATGTTTGCAGATGATCCCTCTTTCACCCATTGAGCAGCTCTGGTATTTTTGATATTGGCCAACATCATTACTGATAGGTGCCGTCAGAGCAGAGCGTGGCCCCTTATGGAATCAGCAGAGAATGGGGCAGGTGTCCTAATGGCTCCCTGGGGAAGGAGGCAGCCCTGAGTGTGTCTCTAAGGGTGGGTGGGTGTGGGGGTGATTCTCTTTTGCTTCAGAGGAGTGTCTGGTGCCTTGAGGTAGGAATGAAGCCAGGCTACACCCATCCTGCCACACTAGACACTGCCCTGCAATTGGATTCTTAGCTATCGATCATTCCTGCGTGGTCCTGCTGCCAGTTTTCAATCAGTTTTATACCCATTTTATCTAGGTCTTCACTTTCCGTTTAGGCCTAGGGATGGCACAGACAACTCTGGTAGCTGATCTCATCCTGGAGAGAGGCTGGACAATTATTATCTGTAGTACAGTAGTACTTGTAAGGCCCCAGCTGAGATCAGGGCTCCATTGTGCTAGGTGCTGTATGTACACATAGGAAGACAGCCCCTTCCCTGAAGAGCTGACAGTCCAGGTAGGCAAGATAAATGAAGAGTAGTAGAAGAAATGCAGAGAAGTGACTTGAATCGTGCTCTGTATCAGGTATCCATTCTGATACTTGGATCTCTCAAGTGCTTTTGCTGACGTTGACCATGAGATGATGGAACTTCCAGAACCTATGAGTAGATCATCTCTCTTAAGTAACTTCACTCCTTTCTTTGGGAAATCCCAGCAGGACACTATCAGGTGAGTAAATATTTGCTGCAAGGGCTCAGGTGGGCTTCCACAGGATTCTATCTTGTCACGTCTCCTGTTCAATTTGTGTGTATATGGGGCTGTTGAGAGGGTAACTGAGGACGTTTTTAGCTCAATAAAGGAGTCAGCATAGAGGCAACTAAGAGCCACAGGAAGGATGCATGTCCTGAAACAAGGAAGCAGGAAGGAAAGAAAAGAAACAGTATGTGTAATTGCAAGGATCAAGAGATATTTGAGTCAAACAGGTATCCTTCAGAAAATGGAAACCCAGCCAAAACGCAGGGATGATGATTAAGACACTGGGCTGGGACGCAGGACCAGGGAATTG